AAAAGAACTTTAAAAAAAAGAATCATAAAAGAAAAATATTACCTAGTGATTATTAATGCTTGATTATGGGCCATAAAAAGCCCTGGAGCACAAGACTCAATGTAATATAGCAGCCAACCTATAGGCCATAGCTCCACTATGGATCCAACTCTACTTGGATTACTTCCTTGGAAGAGATTCATGGTAATATTATTTAATTTGCACTTCTTAACTTGAGAGACATACGAAATATTAATATCACTCAATAAAATTTGATATTGGTCACAGCAACTTCTTTTCCAATCTCTACATAGAGTATCACTCAAAGGAAACACAAATTCCCAGAAGTTTGAAAAACAATTCCACCTGTGGTTGTCCAGTTTGGAGTTATTATCATTTTTAGCCATTTTAAGGTAGCATGAGAAAGTTGGAGGTTTCTAACCTGATGAAATTCTAGGCAATCCTGACCCTCCTTTTTTTTTAACCTCAAATAAAATTATTTATCAATTGTCAAACTTTGATTAAGACTTGAATAAGTTTATAATGATATTGTCTAAAATAAAAAGAAAGTGTATGGCCATATCATCATGTTATTTACACACATCTTGATCAACCAAGAAGCATAAAGAGAATATAGTTGCAATTGAGCTCTCACAGTGCATAAAATGCTTTGTATAATATACAGGAAAGCACTTTGAAACTACCTATATGCTATTTAGGTGACAATGACAGCTAAAATTTGGCTCATATCCTGTCACTTCCTCTAGTAACTTAACACCCATCAAGTACTTACCCTAAATTAGGAAAAAATCATTCTTTTTCTTGCCTCCCATTCTTACTTTATCTTCTGAAATAGGTGATTTACCCTCTTGCAGACTTCTTATAGGATGAGGATCCGTTTAACTGACTGGAGAGTTGGACAGAACCTCTCACTCTTTTAACCATGGTAACCTTGGGAAGGAGCCCTTGCATTCAAGGCAAAGAAGGTTGTCATCACATCCCTGGCTCTCATTCATTTGCAATTCGGGAAGTTTGAGGGAGACTGACATCTCCCACATGGCTGGTTGGGTATCTCTTTTTAGACCTAACTTTTCCTATAAATAAGTCCCAGAGTCAAGCAGGATTTAAGTGGAGGAAGTGGTAGGAAACTTATGCTGTCGTTGGACCCAAGCCATGCTCACCAATTTACCATTACCATTAATGTTAATCTTTTCCCCAATCTGACTTCTTTATGTTTCAATTGGTCAAGGACCTGTAGAGACAGAGGACTAAGAACAATTCAGCTATCAGATTATATTTTTTGTTCAGTTTCTACCTCATTCATCTATGCTATAAGCAGTAATGAGCAGTAATGGAATCTTTCTCACCATGTCACTTCAGAACCTAACAAACTCGTAGGTGCCTAATATGTGGTGATAGATTGTTTGCAGATAAAGCGATTCCCATGGAACATTTACCCTGACTAACTTCAGAATAGGGCCTGATCTTAAAGATCAATCCCCAGAACTTGCTTTTGAACCTGTAACTTGATTTCTAACACAGGATTTTCAGTTCCTGTGTTCTCAAATTCAGGGCAAACATTCTATAAAGTAGTAATGTTTTCTTTCTCACATGCCATTTTTACTTTCTGGGCTGGGTGGTGAGGCTCTTCCTGTTCCTGCTTAAAATAGAACTTTCCAAATGAGTCTGTCATGAATGACTTGGCTTCCTGCCACACCTTACTCCTGGTGGGGACATGTGGGTTCATCAAGGCTAAACTTCACAAATCATCTGAGTTTCTTGTGAAAAAAAGCAGGTTTTTATTTAGTAGGTGAAGACTGAAATTCTACATTTCTAACAACTCTCCAAGGATGCCCATTCTACCAATTTGAGGGCCATCCTGTAAGTAGCAAGGGGTTAGATGACCCGCTTCACAAACAGTATCATCCATTCTTTAAACATTATTTAATTCTACTATGTGCCAAACACTGGGATAAGATACTAAAGAGAAACATAACCTAATCCTGACTCATAAGAAGCCCAGAGTCTAATATGGCAGCAAACATACAAATAAATGCTATAAATGATGTCCATTAAGAGAATGAAAACACAAGCCACAGAAAATAGTTGCACAAGCCATATTTGATAAAAGATTTTTATCCAAACTATACAAATAACTCTTAAAACTCAACAATAAACAGACAAGCAACCCAATTTAAAAAATGGGCAAAAGACCTGAATAGATACCTCACCAAGAAGATACATGGAGAGCAAATAAGAATATAAAAAGATGATCAACATCATATGTTAATAGGAAATTGCAAACTAAGAAAAAGAGATATTACTATACACCTATTAAAATGGGCAAAATCCAGAACACTGACAATACCAAATGCTGATGAGGATGTGGAGGGACAGGAACTCTTATTCATTGCTAATGGGAATGCAGAATGGTACAGCCACTTTGAAAAACATTTTGACAGTTTCTTACAAAACTAAACATACTCTTACCATATGACCCAGCAATCATGTTCCTTAGTATTTGTTCAAACCTGATCAAATAAACCACATATACCGAATTGGCCTCTACACTGGGAAACCTGATTTAAATGATCTGGGGTGTTTTTCAATGGTGAAAATTGTAGAGCCTATATTCTGGATCTTCTGAATGAGAATTTCTTAGTGCTAGGAGTTGGTAATCTGAAGTTTATCAAGTTCTGGAGGCTGTTTTTAAGTACCATTAGGCTTGAGAATCACTTTTCTACTTCATGTCCACGCATTTTTTTTTAGTACAAAAGCCAATACCAAATTGATTCCAAATAAGTTGTAATAACTTTATTATTCATTACCTTATTATTAGTGAAATAAGCCACGCAAATAATACTGAAATAGATTTATTTGGGAAATACATATATAATTCTGACATTTTATTAAGAAGCAATAAAAACATAAGTGGTTTGGAATTTTGGCAGCATGGTACAAATGTAAGAATAAATCATTGTAGAGGTAAAATCATTATCAACATTATCTTTACTATAAGACAAGCTAAGAATATCCTAAACAATAGACAAAAATATTTTGTTGCTTAAATTTAAGAAAATTATGAAGGAACTGTTCAGCTGTGTGTTTATCTGATAAGGGCAGCTAAATGTATCCTCCCCATACTTCCTGTTTCTATATTTAAGAATACCGCAAACAGTTATTCTAATATATCTTTTGTACGTAGTTGCTTATAAATGCAGCTTGGTTGAAAGAGCCTACCTAGAACCAGTTGCTCAAAATTCCAGGTATGGCACTATCATACTGGCTTGATAACAGTGAGTCTAAAGCAATACCCACAATCCCAATCTAAGGAGCAAAATCTTAATGCCAGTGTTGTTCCAGAAGAAAAGCTCCACCACAAACTCCCAGTTTTATCTTTATGGGATAAAAAATTTTATGGGATATCATACTCCCATCGCCATAATTTCAAACACTATTTTCGTACATTTTCTGTAATGATCCATTTTTTCTAGTATTCTGAACTTTTTAGGAAACTGAAACAATTTTGTTGGTTTCTCTTTTTACCATTTCTGTAAGTCACTTAGTTTTCCTTCTATACACACACACACACACACACACACACACACACACACACCACATTCATTTGTGCAGCAGCTCACCTATTTGTTCAAATGGATCCCAACCTTTGCTGTCCACTTTGTATGAGGTGTATTGCCTTATTTAGTAGCATCACCTGAGAATCCTAATAGCCTCAAGCTGTTGAATAAAGTTGTAGGCTATTTTTGAAATAATTAGACTCAAGTACTCTGGAAATTCAGAAACTTTGAAACCATCTCCTCTTGCTGGACTCAAGTGGCTGCAACTACAGTATTTTAAAATGAATTGTTATGAAGGCGTACCACTTTGCTATGTACGATTTGCCCTGATTCCTTAGTAAGAAGAGCAGCAAGATACAGAAGTGCTTAATGAAAGTATGGCGACCTGTTTTGGCCAATGAAATATTCCAGACTTTTCGCTATTCCATTAACTGTGCTTTTCATTTGCTATCAGGTTAGCCATGACGCAGTTTAAGCTATCAGTCTGCACTTGCTGGATGATACTTTTTTTCACTAATTTTTATATTTATTTAGACAACCCCAAGTATATTAGTTTAGCAGCATTATGTCACATTTATATACATTAGTCCATGTGACCCAAACACTGAGTCACAACTTTGTTTATAAACGCACCACACATCAATAGTTCAATTACTACCTATGTTTGCTTAGCAGTGTAACAGGGTAGATAAAACCATTTGTCAGGGATGGGCAACATCTACTCTACATTAGTTGGTGTATTCCACATCTTAATTGCACCATTTATCCTTCCCATTCTTTTCTTATATCAAGTCTAAAATGATTTCTTCTTTACATTTAAGAAACCCCAGTATGAGATGGACAGAGGAAAATTTCTCATCATGGAAGAATGACCAGAAATAAGCATATCATCGTTACTTTGTTGATGGTTAGTTAGTCAAATTGGGACATTCTTTCTTTGTCAAGAGAGTGTAGTGAACTAATCCAGATAACACAAATCTCTCTTGCCTACATGTGTCTCTTATCCTCCAAAAAATATACTAACTTTGTACATTGGGTAAAATGTAGCTAAGTTTAAAAGTTCTACTACCCTGCTACTCATAATACCAGTCAGTTTTGGAGGGAAGGGTTTTTGTGTTGTTCAAGGCTATAATATAAAAAAGTTCCCTTGCAGTATTTTGGGAGAAATTTTAGTCACTTGTCCTATGGACCCTTAAGACCCAAGCACCAACATGAACCTCCTTGAAGTGAAACTTCTCAGGTCAAGGAATATTATTGGACATTTTGTTGGGCTCAGATAATGGTATTGACATGCTGATCATTCAGTGATCACTGTTGGAGATCAAGATCAAATTTAATTCCTCACACATATGGCTGCATATTCTGTAGGTGCTTCTTTCACATTCCTTGCTTGTCTTGGGTTTATTCCAGTGACAGAATGGTTCAGGGAGGCATAAACAATGCTCTGTTTGTTTTCCTCCAGACATGGGTTAGAATAAACTTCAGACTCTTCCTGGACCTTGAACCAGGGGTCATTATCATAAGTACAAGTTTCTGATTGCTCACTCCTAAAGGGCTGGGGAATAACAACCTATAAGAGAAAAAAAGATTGTTTTAACTACCACCTAAGGATGTGATAGTGCATACAATTAGCAAACTATAAGTAGATGCTAAATTGAGTTAATACACCAACAGAGATAATTTACTCTTCCTCACTTTTGCTGCTGACACCTACATCTGTAGCAGATTCTCACTTGTTGAAAGATGAAAGGCTTAGAACCACTGTGTTCCTCCCAAGTAGTTATTTTGTGCTCTTACTAGTCACTTTTGAAGTCACAGAACATTTCTAGCTCTACAAGAACCTTACCTGGTAAAAATGAAGATACAATTTTAATGCTAAGAGGTGTTATTTCAATTTTTAAATACCAGTTTTGTCGGTCAATTTATGTTCTTGAAGTTTGGCCTAACTCCTTGAAGGCATGAAGTCCACTGTCTTTGACAGTCTACATGCCTTGTCAGGTCCTTTGTCGTCCTCATTTTGTATGTGAAGTAGTACATCTCCTACCCCTCCTTGGCAGAATTCTACCACAAATTATTGTCTGGCCCTATCCCGAGAAGTTAAGTATTAGCTGCTGAGTATCCTGCTTCCCTCTGATGAGGTGGCTGCCCAGAAAATAACACTAAGGCTGAATGATTGAACGAAGCAGGAATCGCTTTACCCTCCCCAGTCTCTTGACTCAGCTGAAAAGTGCCCCAACCTCCACTCGAAGGAGCCTGGTTAAAGTCTCCAGAGAAGCGCTGAAGAATAAAACTGTCACATGACCTAATAAGTAGCCATAAATCCTCAATATGTCAACAAGATCCTTGTTGTACTTTTACAATATATATGTCTGTCAACTCCCTTGTCCCTGTCAACTCTGTCTCCCTTCCCAAAAGATGGCTGGTTTCCATGGAAACCTTAATTAAAATGAATGAGGTTAAAGAAAACATGGTGCTCTGTGGCTGACTGTATCCCATGGCACCTCAGTCAAGTGGGCAGATGCCACAAGCTGGTGTGCCACACTGTGGTTGATAGAGATGACAAACACCAAAGCAGCTATCCTACTCTATATTTGTATGGCATTTTGCAGTTTACAAAGCACTTTAAAAAAATACACAGCTCAGTGTTTTTTAGTATACCCTCCAGGGACCATTGTGGAATAAGACAAGAACCTTGGCTTTTATATGTACCTGCCATGTTTTTACCAGTTCCTTTCTCTCCTTTGGATTTCTATTCCACTGGTTCCAATGCAAGTCCCTTCCTAAGAAAGCTTTAGTCTCAAAGATTTAATATTACACCACTTTATTTTCTGAAATGTTGGCCAACTCAAATGGCACAAAGCTCTGAGTTCCTGTGAAAGACACAGACATCTTAAAACAAAATTCCCGAATAATTACACACACACAGAATCCCTCTTGAATTCAACTTCAGATCATAAATAATTTGTCCAGCCTACACAGGAAGAACTATGACTACATTTTAACCAACCTGGGCTTAATTTAACAAGGAACTATTTAGATTATCATTTTAAATGGTTTCATAGATCTCAGTCCTGATGGTAACAGAATGTAGTTCATTGGTGTTCACTACAGGAAGTAAGAAAACAACATTTAAGAAAATTTTCCTGCTTGAAGAAACAAAACCTTAGCACCCAACACAATGTTGCCTATTGCCGCTTACTAAAAACTTAATATGAGTTCGAAGTTGAATGCATTTGGTTTGATTTAAAAGTGGGCAACCTGGTGGGGATGCTGAGTGTCACTCAATATTATATGTAAAATCATTGGCGATATCTGCCTTTGGCACTTCTGGAACTTTTGAGAAGGTTACTACATCTTTATCTCTACCCTTCTACCCTGAAACATGCCATCACACACAAAGCTCCTTTACAGTACCTTAATTATGACTATTTGCTTTTAACTAAAGAACTTCATAAAATGTTTTCAGAAATGTATTGCCTCAGCTTGCTTTTTTTTTTTTGAGTTCCAATATTTACACAACATTGAACCCAAAAGAAAAAGCCTAATTTTATATTCCAAGAACTTGTAGGAAAACTTGGCCCTGCCTCCAAAATGCCCTAGGCTTTGCCTGGGAGGTCTCTTCCTTGATGAGCCCACACACATTATGAAAGACTTTTGCATAATAACTTTTTCCGGTCAAGCTTCTTTATCTGCTGGTGATCTAGGAAGAAATCACACATTATTTTATGAGATAATTTATGGTTCATTCTTTCATTAACTCTCAACTCTTTTCCAGAAAGACTTTAAGGTATTTTTTGTGAGAATAAATGAAGAACCTGAGGTTACATAACAGGCCAAGAGCAGAGCCAAGGTTTATATAATCCACTCTCTGACTTTTCTACTTCTGGTCTGCACTGCCACTCATGCCTTTCCAAAAGGCCACTTATTATGAGTCTTGTTAATCCTGAAGAATCTTTGCTGCAGATGGAGGTAAATGTAAAATAAACACATTTTTTTAAAGCAAGTCCATATACGGAGAGCATTTAGACAGTTCCTGGCACAGGGTGAGTGTTACATAGCCTTATGAAATTTAAAATAATATATTAAGATGAACATGGTATAACATAGATTGCATTTGTTTTAACAAATACATAGAACATACCAGGTTAATTTCCCTTCCTGCTGTATCAGAAGGCTTCTTTTGTTCTGCTGGAATTGAAAAAGAAAAATAAGAAACCAAGAAGAGTAAAGAACAACACAAAATTCTTCCCCAATTCCCTGTAAGTTGAGGTTGTGGTAAGAATATGCGTTCTGGAATCTGATTGCTAGGTTGAAATTCAGTGTCTAGAGCAGAGGTGGGATGCCTCCCCACCCATGTCCACCCACTTGTGTGGCATGGCAGTGTCATTACTAGTTTTGGCTTGTTTATTTGCTGTGACCAGCAAGGCACATACGCCTCAGTTTGTGTGCATTCATGCCGCTCCTTTTGTTCACTGGTTCTTTACTTCTTACTCCAGAGAGCCCTACAGCATATCCAAGAGGAAGGGGCAGGATCTAGTACATCACTTTAAACACGCTGGAGATCCTTGTGCTGGGGATATGCTATACTCGATGTCAGACACACTGCTATCCCCTCACCTACAGAGGCCAGGATCTCCTCTGGCCCAGTTCACTCCAGATGTGGTAGGTCAAAGGATTCATCCCTGCCTCTTTTTCTAAAGTTTTCTGAAGCAGCCTCAATAAAGATGGTGAAAGCTGGGGAGGGACCATGGCAAGAGTCTTGGAGTTGCAGATGTGAAGTTAGGGTTACAGAGGATTCCCTCAGTATTCTGAGAAGGTTCTGGGCTCCGGAAGTCCTTACCACAAAATACCAGAAGTACTTTTGCCCAGACAAAGCTTTCTCTTGTGGCAGAAATAAAGGATGCTCTGTCTAGCTTCATTTCTATAGCTACACTGCAGCTTCCAGTGTGGCAAATGGTGGGAGGAGATGGCAGAGGGAACAGTAAAGACAGAGAGAGAGCTGGGGGGTTTCGGATTAGAGCGACATCAGCATTCTCCCCACACCTCTCTCTTACTCTGATTAAGTGTCTGCTCATGACTCTGAAGGAATTCGTAGAAAAGCAGAAAGGAATTGCTTCTAAGATGTCACACCTCTCCCATCCTAGCCAAACCCACATTTTTCAAGTGCTGTAATTTGGGGTGATGGTTCAGTTCAGGCGCATGTTTATGATGGCATCAGAAAGTACAGACATAGGAATTTCTTTTGGGGACATTTGGTCTTCGTTTAGACAAGGGTGTGTATGATTGGCATGATGTGGTGTGGCTGTGAAAAAGAGAATGAGACTAATTCAAATTAGACATGTTGACCTGAGAGATTATTTTAAACCTCCCTTTCAATACCCTTAAAGTTTAGAAGAGCTGCTTGTCCCATTAACTTAAGATTGACACAAGTAGAATGGGTAAGTCCCAGCCATGTGCCCTCCTTATCACAACCCCTGCCTAGAGCACGGTGCTGTGGGCGCCGTGTCTCACCATGACTGGAAGGGACCTGAATTAATCCATCTGTCTTTCTGGTGGAAGGATGAGTTGTCCCCGAGGAAATCATTATCCGTGGTCCCTCACAGAATATTGGGAAAGAAAACAACAGGAACCAACTAAAAATTAATCAGCTCTAGTAACTGAACCCCAAATGTGTGGCACATAGCAACAGATGGAAGATGGAACCCACCTCGGTGCCTTCTAAGGCAGCAGAATAGGTAGAAACAGGTGATGAGCAGAAGCAATGCCCCCAAAGGCAGCAAACTATAAAGCATCCATTGTCTATCGTCCGTCATTTCTGTGGAGGGTGGTCCTGAGGCACTGGTTGTATCTGAAATGTGAGTCAATGCTAAAGACAGTTAGGAAATTGGAGATATACTAGGATCGGTAATACCTTCTGCACCGTCACAACTTAAATGAAGATTTCCAGGTGATGCTTCTCTTTCTCCTCCAGAAGCCTTCCCCAAGAACCCTGGGCCTCAGTGTTCTCACCCACCTCTTGCTTTATTGATGAGCATATGTGGGTGGCTCTGGGTTATAATTCATCTTTTGTAAGAATTTTTTATTCTGCTAGGGTTAATCCCCTCTAAAACAATACCCAAAACAGCTCTCAGCAAGCACTTCACCAAGCTCTTTCATTGACATCGTCTTACTTAACTCTCATATTCATTCCTAAAGGAAAGTAAGGAAGCCATTATTTTTAGCCAGTTTCATGCCTTGATAAAAGTGTTATTGTTCCAAGACTTGCCCAAGGTCAGATAGCTAGTGAGTTGCCGTTGGGACTTAAGCCAACATGTTTCTGATACTAAATTCCAGTTCCTTTAACACAAAGGCTTTTTGTCGTCTCATAACTCCCCAGGATCTCCAAACACTAAGTATTTTTCTTATCTCAAGATACCTTTGTTATCACCAAATACGCTTTGCTGGACATACAGCCAGTGCTCATTGCTATGATCAATGTTAACATGCATTAAGGTTCTGTTTGTCCGTGCTAGGTTGCAATTCACCGACGAGTCATGAAACAATTTAATAGAGCACAAAAAAATTAGAAACATGAATTGCAGCAGAAGAGAAAACTAACAGAATGCATCACACATCATTAATTTTGTATATATGTTAAATTTTTTATGCAGGAAATGTTTATTTCTAAATATATTAACATCATTATCCATTTGCTTCCACATGTGCTTGGCTTGTAAAGACGGTCAGGAGATACTGAGGCTGGGCAAACAGTGGTTATGTAATTCAGACTGGTAAGAAATCCTGCATTGTTTATGCTGCAGCTGCTGCCTGGGCAAGGACAGCTGCCAAGTAATTACCAATGATGACAGACACAGCTCTCTGGGGGAAGGCTATGAATAGAAATAGGGACAAAAATTCCCACATAGATAACCAAATACGAACAGATCCACTCAGTTAGGAAAATCCAACTTTTATTATTTCTCCGACCACCAAATAATCTAGTTTCCTTAATTTTATCCGACTAGTTTGATACTTACTTATCAGAGGGTATTCTGAATTATTTCTAGTCCATTCTGAAATAGAAAATCAAGATAAAGAAGTGAAATTGGTTGTAAAAAGAATACTCAGGCGTGTCCAGAGTCAGAGCTAATATCTGAGGGGATGCCCACATTTACACACCAACAGAACCCAGTAACCCAGCTCACGGGAATTTGCACAATTGGCAAATCATCACCTCAGGATCACGGACACAAAATAAGTCTCTGGGTTTATTTTGAGGCTTGAAGAAAGACTGTACACACAAGACAAACTTTGTCTGGTTTGATTCCCTCTTCCCCATTACTTAAGTATAAAGATAGAATACAGCCCGTGTGACACCTTCCAGCTTGGAAAAACAAGATATTCATTCAGCAGGTGCTCCAAGTGAGTGCGAGGAAAGGATGCTTCTGATGACATGCTGAGTATCATTCTGAAACAGATGGTGCCTCCCACTTTGTGCCCACTTATTCCACCCCCACTTTTCTGCTGAGAGGATGACAACCTGCCCTTGTGAATTTCCTAATGGGGGACTGACCAAGGGCAAGTTGGGGAGGATGGAGCTGCAGGTCAATGTACATTCCAGTGACTGTTTCCCAGCTGTCAACTTTTCTCCTGGAGCTTTGCAAAGCAAAGCATTTTTTCTTCATTCTGGGAGAATATTGCTTTCCCAATAGCATCCAAGCCCTGACTCTGCCACGGCCCTGTTCTTACATGGACCAACTCTTTTTTTCTTTTCTTTCTTTTTTTTTTACATGGGCCAATTCTTAACTTGACCATAAAAAGAAAAGGAGAGTCAGATACGAAAACAGGAAAATTCGCAATAGCCCCTAAAAGAGATATTTCAAGGGGAGAAAATGAAATATTTTTTATCATACTTTGACATTGTTTTTATGAAAAGCATCATCCTTAAATATAATTTCGGATTATATTTTTCTCCTTCAGTACTCAATTCACGGAGTATTCCCAGGTACAGAAGGAAAAGGAATTTTTCTTTGACTTTTTCCCTATTATGTTTGTTTTCATCACTTCATGAAAGGAAAATACGTGCCCAGTTCAAAGCCAATTCTGAAATAATTCATTTGGAAGCAAGGATGACCCAGAAAAATATGACACAGTTTCTGCTTCCCAGGACATTATAGTTCTTCATGAGATAAAGAACATTTCCACACATTACTACAGTACAAGGAATTGTCTGATAAATAAGAGGCACAGAGCTTAAATGACATGAAATATGCTAGAAAAGAGAAATCACTTCACTTAGGGTGAACCCTGGAAGGCTTCATTAAGAACTGGGAAATGAGCTGGGCTTGACAGGAAGGGCAGAATTGTGGTGGGTGGAGGCAGATGAATGGGTTCCCTATGAAAGGTGAGAGGACATGGTGAAGACATGCAATGGCAGGTAGGGCTGTTGGGCTGGAGCAGAGACTCAAAGTGGAGTCTAGAAACAATCCAGAAAGGCAGGTGGGCATGGACTGTGGGAGGCCTTGAATACTGGTTAAATGTGAGCCCAACATTGGAAACCCTGAGGATGCTCTGCCAAAGACTCAATAGAGGAGTGGCATGATGGAAGAAATTTATTAGGCAAATTAAGTGTATTAGGAAGATATTTGGCTGAAATGGACCAAAATAGGAAACACTAAAGCCACAGAGTCCATACGGCTGATTGGAATATTTGGAAGGAAGATAATGAAGGTTTGAGATGCTCATGAACCTAGAGCAGGGAGGCAATCCCAGACCGAAGGTTGCCGACAGACAAGAGTAGAAGGTCAAAGAAAAGTCCTGGGGAATCCCCTTGGTCAGGAGCATTAGTTCACAAAGTGATAAGAAAGGTAGGAGAGTACGAAATTAGGCGAATAGAAATCTCCAAAAGAAAACTTAAAAGGCCCTTCATGTCTCCTATGTAGTTTTCCCTCTCACCACTCCATCTTCACCTCTCCTCTCCAGTATGATCCTAACAAGCGCATCCCCCCAGGACACAGGGATCACAGGGATGGAGGGAGAAGCTGCCCCTCTTGCTTTTCTTCTCTTCAGCCCTCTCCTCCCCAAGGGAGACAGATTGTCGATCCTAATTTTAGCCCCAACTCGATTCCTAGAACAGGCACCTTTACCACTTTACAAACTGCAACCATCTGTAGGGGCCACGGAATGACCCCAATATGGGACAGAGGAGACACAGTAATACCCCCTGGGACACTTCCATGTCAGAAGTATTTATTGGCTTGCCCCTGACACTGGTTGAATTCCTCTCTCTCGTACAGAAGGGTATTGGTTCCCATGAAGGAAAAGAGAACTACACAAGAAGGCAGCTTTTCCAAGGAATGTGAACTCAATGCCACTGCATTTAATTTTATTATACATTATATTAACACACATTATATAAATAATCTAATAGCATTCAATTATTGTATATTTCATCATGTAATTAATATCCTGGGAGTAATGTTTTGCAAGTTTGGCTTATTTTTATCATTTGTTTTGCCAGTTAAAAAATTAATACTTCTTTAAAAATTCAGTATCTCATTATGTGAATTAATAGTGCAATTTTCTCCAGAAAGCATTCTTTCCATAATCTTCAGTATAAGCTTTTCCAGATTATTAAAGGCAATTGTTTCACTTTGCATAAATTGTCATTTAATTCATTTAAGAATTATAAAGAAATATTTATTGAGTGCCTACCATGTGCTATACACTATGCCTTCTATTTGTAGAGAAGCAAAGATGGTTAAGACACAGCTTCCTTTCCAAAGAGGTTTATAAGCCATTGCATGGATATTCGCTGGCAATTAGCATTGTCTTTGACCCCACATTTGCAAAAGCAGAGTCTCTAACTCTGCCATAAATCCCTTCTACACTTCTATGCTTCATAATAGAGGGTTGCAGCTAGCTCTAGAGTACTGTGCATTCCCTTACTAGGCTGCTTTCAGAAGTCTTAAAGTTATTTAAAAGATATTAAAGGGATTTAAATGGATTCCTTCATTGGGCTACTTTAAGGGAGTTAAAAGACTGACTCCAAAGTGTGCATATAAAGTAATAAATTAATTTTTTAAAAACACAGTGTATGCATTCAAGTGAATGGTGTCCACAGAAGAAGTAACTGCCTAAGTCTGCATGTAGATTTCAGACATGCTGCAGTGCACCAAAGCTCTTTGAAATTTCTCTTTTGTAATAATCTTCAAGGTCAGTTTATGGGCCACAAAACAAGCTCCATCTCATTTCTTTTAATTAAAGGGTGATCTTCTTTGATCCAAGTATTTTTTTATCTTGGTGAAATACATATTAACATTACTATTATTATTTTAATCACCGAGAGCATACAATTCAGTGGTATTTAAGACATTCACAGTTGTGCAACCAACACCACTATCTAGTTTCAGAACATTTTCGTCATCCCCAAAGGAAATTCCTTACACATTAAGTAGTTACTCCCCATTACCCCTTTCTACCAGTTCCTGGCAACCATTAATTACTTTCTTTCTCTATGGATTTTTTCTATTCTGGGGATTTCATATAAACTGTCATACAGTAGTAATCTTTTTGTGTCTGGCTTCTTCTAATTAGCACTATGTTTTTGAAGTTCATCTATTTTGTAACATATATCAGTACCTCATTCCTTTTTATGTCTGAATAATATTCCTTTGTATGGATATAACACACTTTCTTTACCTATTTATCAGTTGATGAACATTTGGATTGTTTCCACTTCTTGGTTTTTGTGAATAGTGCTGCTATAAGTATTCAAGTGCAAGTTTTAATGTGGACATATACTTTCATTTCACTTGGATATTACTGGGTCTTGTGGCAACTATGTTTAACCTTTTTAAGAAAGGTTGCCAGACCTTTTCCAAAGCAGCTTAATCATTTTACATTCCCACCATTGCTGGTATAAGGGTTTCAATTTGTCCACATCTTTGCCAACACTTGTAATTTTCCATTTAAAGTAAAATTCTAGTAATCCTAGTGGATGTAATGTGGTGTCTCATTGCGATTTTGATTTGCATTCCCCTAATGACTAATGACATTGAGCATTCCTTCATGTGCTTATTGGCCATTTATATATTTTCTTTGAAGAAATGTCTATTCAGTCTTTTGCCCATTTTAATTTGGTTGCTTGTCTGTTTGTTGTTGAGTTGTAAGACTTCTTTATATATTCTGGGTACTAGTCCCTTATCAGATATATGATTTGCAAATATTTTCTTACATTCCATAGGTTGTCTTTTCATTCTTTCCATAGTGTCCTTTGATGTATAAAAGTTTTTAATTTTTATGAAGTACAATTTATTTATTTATGTATTTATGCTTTTGATGTAACAAAAAATTGACAAATCCAAGATCATGAAGATCTACTTCTATGTTTTCCGTAAGGAAACATAGTATTAAAATTTTATGCAAGCATATATTTTATTGTTTTCATTCTTATATTAAATATTTGATCCATTTTTACTTATTTTTGTATGCTGTGTGAAGTAGAGGTCCAAATTCATTCTTTTGCAATGGGTATCCAATTGTCTCAGCACCATTTAATGAAGAAACTATCCTTTTCCCATTTTAATGGTCCCAGCAGCCTTGTTAAAAGTCAACTGGTCATCTCATTGTGGTTTTGATTTATATTTCCCTGATGATGAGTGATGTTGAGCATTTTTTCATGTGTCTGTTAGCCATTTGTGTCTTCTTTAGAGAAATGTCTATTCATGTCTTCTGCCCATTTCTTAACTGGATTATTAATTTTTTGGGTGTTGAGTTGGTAAGTTCTTTATGGATTTTAGATACTAACCCTTTATCGGATATGTCACTTGCAAATGTCTTCTCCCAATTCCTAGGCTGCCTTTTAGTTTTGTTGAGTTTCTTTTGTTGTGCAGAAGCATTTTATCTTAAACTACCTCACACCTGTCAGAATGGCCAAAATTAAAAACTCAGGAAACAACAGATGTTGGTGAGATGCAAAGAAAGAGGAACCCTCCTACACTGTTGGTGGGAATGCAAACTGGTGCAGCCACTCTGGAAAACGGTATAGAGGTTCCTCAAAATGTTAAAAATAGAACTACCCTACATACCAGCAATCACACTACTAGGTATTTATCCAAAGGATACAAAAATTCTGATCAAAGGGTGTCCACTGACTGATGAATGGTTAAAGAAGATGTGGTATATATATAATGGAATATTACTCAGCCATCAAAAAGAATGAAATCTTTCCATTTGCAATGATGTGGTTGGAACTACAGTGAAAGAAGTCAGTCAGAGAAAGACAAATACCATATGATTTCATTCATATGTGGAATTTAAGAAACAAAACAGATGAACATCAGGGAAGGGAAGAAAAAATAAAATAAGGTAAAAATAGGGAGGCAAACCATTAGAGACTCTTGACTACAGAGAACAGGCTGAGGGTTGCTGGAGTGGAAGTGGGGGGGATGGGTTAAATGGATGATGGGCATTAAGGAGGACACTTGTTGTGATAAGCACTAGGTGTTATATGAAAGTGATAAATCACTAAATTCTACTCCTGAAACTAATACTACACTATATGGTAACTACCTTGAACTTAAATAAAATCTTGGAAGAAAAAAAAATGTCAATTGGCCAAAGATGTATGGATTTATTCTGGATTCTTAATTTTATTCTATTGATCTGTATATATATCTTTTGCCAGTACCACACTGTTTTGATTATTGTAGTTTTATAGCAAATTTTTAAATGAAGGAGTGTGAATCCTCCAACTTTGCTTTTCTTTTGCAAGTTTTTTTTTTTTTTTTTTTTGGCTATTTGGGTCATTGCAACTGTATGTGAATTTTAGGATCAGCTTTTTCATCTATGTAAAAAAAAAAAAAAAGGTTGTTGGGATTTTGATGGGAATTATATTGAACCTGTGGATCATCCTGGGAAATACTGCCATCTTAACAATTTTAAGTCTTCCAATGTGAATGGCATGTCTTTCCATTTATTTTTATCTTCTTTAATCTCTTTCAGCCATGTTTTATTTAGTGTATAAGTCTTAAATCTCCCAGGTAAATTTATTTTATTCTTTTTGAGGCTACTATAAATAGAATTGTTTTTTTAATTTCCTTTTCAGATTGTTCATTGCTATTGTATAGAAATACCATTGATTTTTTTTTAGCTGATCATACAACCTTGTTGATTTCATCTATTAACTCTACTAGCTTTTGTGGATTTTAGAAGTGAAACTATCTCTTCTTCCTTTCCAATTTGGATGCCTTTTATTTCTTTTTTCTTGCCTAAGTGTTCTGGCTAGAACCTCTAGTTCAGTGTTGAATAAAAGTGGCAAAAGCAGATAGCCTCTTCTTCCTGTTCTTTTTTTTTTTTAAGATTTTTTTCTTTATTTATTTGAGATAGAGATAGAGATAGAGAGAGAGAGAGCCAGCATGAGCAGGGGGAGGGGCAGAGGGAGAGGGAGAATCAGGTTGTGCAGGGAGCCCAATGTGGGGCTGGATGTGGGTTTGGATGTGGGGCTCAATCCCAGGACCCTGAGACCATGACCAGAGCCAAATGCAGACGCTTAATCAACTGAGCCACCCAGGCTCCTCTTCTTCCTGTTCTGAGAGGAAAAGCTTTCACTCTTTTACCATGGAGTATGATGTGGGAGTTTCATAAATTAAACATATTCATTTATTTTCCTCTACTCTTCTCTGTTTGCTTTCTCTGTTTGTTTTATTCAGTTTGGTTTGGCCCAACTTAACCTCAACCTGTTTTCCTGATGTTTGAGCCTATTGAGGGCCTCTGGGAGAGACTGGGAAGGCAGCTAAAGCTATGAACATCCTCAAAACTCATCAGGGAGTCTGGTTTCTTTGTGTGCAGTTTGTTCTCTGTGCAATCTATGAATTATTAACAAGTGTATAATTGTCTGAGCACCACAAATATAATTTCAAGGATTTATTATCAATAAAAGTTAAGGATTGGTAAGTAGAAGAAAAAAATAAAAGGAAAAGAGGACAAAGAATAGAGAGCTGTCTACTACTATTGGTATTCACTTGGTAATTTTTTCCGTATTTCAGTGGCCTAGTATTGGATTTATCAAATAAATGCTATACCCCTTAAAGGCAAGAACAATAAATTTTATTATATTTTTTCTCTATTTTTCTCTACCTCACCCCAAAATTACACACACACTTGCTCACACAGATCACAATCTGAGGAGTGTGACAACTTTCCAATTTACATGACTTCAGTGTGTAACATAAATGCTTGAGAATCTGGGTCCTCCTTTTCCTTAAAACATGATGAGAAAATATGAGATAGTCTTGGTGTAGAACTCACCTGTCACATTAATGGTTACTGAGTGGCTTTCAACAAGTCCAGATGAAAAATTTGCAGAACAGCGGTATGACCCGGTGTCACCAGGCAGCATGTGATTAAAATGCAGAATAAAAACTGAAATATTCTCATTTTCATTCCAGCTTGTGTATCCCTGAAGTTTATACCCAAGAGATAAACAGCTTTTTCCTTCGAGCTTGCACCAGATCACATTAGGTCTATTAGTACAGTATTTCACAGGGCATTTCAGATCAAATGAATTCCCTGCTGAGACAGTGTATATGGAATATCTCTTTACATACAGTTGTTCATTACATGATTTTTCCCCTGAAAGATGAAAACAAAATTAAAATCAAATATGCTCTAGAAAGACCAGATATTTGCCACTCAACAGATTCTGCCAAAGGTTTCTCAAGTATGATTTTATAATTTTCCCAGATAACATTTTTTTAAAAAGATTTTATTTATTTATTTGACAGAGAGAGAAAGAGCTCACAAGCAGGGGGAGAGGCGGAGGGAGAAGCAGGCTCCCCACCAAGCAGGGAGACCGACATGGGGTTCAATCTCAGGACCCTGGGGTTATGACCTGAGCCGAAGGCAGATACTTAACCGACTGAGCCACCCAGCCACTCCAGATAACATTTTTCAGTATATTAACCCTTACTAGCAGAGTGTCTGGTACATAGTAGGTACACGATAAGTATTTGTTGAAAAAAATAATTTCCTCAATTGTTGAATAATTTCCTCAATTTCCAAAATATTACTGACATTTTTATTACTATAAAATGTTATTTTGTTTTATTATTTTGTAGCTACACCAATGGTAGCAAATAATAACAATTTTTGGTCAATAATTTATTATATTCCAGGGGCTGTTCAAAACACACTAAATAGGGATGCCTGGGTGGAGCTCAGTCGGTTAAGCGTCTGCCTTCAGCTTGGGTCATGATCCTGGGGTCCTGGGATCAAGCCCCACATCGGGCTCCCTGCTCAGCAGGGAGTCTGCTTCTCCCTCTCCCAGCCTGCCCGCCACTCATGCTTTCTCTCGCCCCCTCTCTCTCTCAAATAAATAAAATCTTAAAAAAAACACTTTAAATATTTTAACCCATTTAATCTTCACAACAAAAAAATATATTATTATGACACCTATCTTACAGAGGTAGTAAAACATTTGCCTAGAGTTATATGCTAATAAATATGGGAATTAAGACTCAAACTCATACTAGAGTTCATTACTCTGTAAATCATTAACCATTACTCTGTTATTGTTTCTTGAGTAATAATCACATTTTCTATTACTAGCTCTGATATATTCCAATAAGTGGGAGAGAGGAACTTTTGTAGACAATTATTTCCCTATTATACTTGGCATTAGAAATATTCATTACTTGTTTCACAAAGGCTTTAGTGCTGCCTTGCAATTTTTTCCATGACTTTTTCTATGTAGGACACATGCAACTCAAGATAATTGTTGGAAGATAGGATGTTCTGACATAACATGAATGTTTTGTCTTCAAAGGGGGAGGAACAGCGATGCATCTCTTTTGGAAGTTCTGTCTTTTGGCCTAACATACAGGAAGTTGCCTCCTTTTGTTTTGGTGGGGAGAGCTTTTCCCTGGAAACAGATTTTCTGTTATCGTCTATGAACCTTCTGTTAGTAATTGTCAGTTGCATATAAAATCTGCAGCCAAGAAAAAAGAACTTTTAAAATGACCTATTACTATTGAATAAGTTCTGTTACCCTTAACTTACCATGAAAGTATTTACTTGGAAACCTCAACAACTAGGATGTAACCGTGAACCAAGATACATGAAGAAGAATTATTCCCTAAACAAGCAAAATAGATATTGCAAGAACCCAAACTCATCTGACTTTATACATAATCTTTATAATTCCATTATCATTTCCTAATTAGCTTAGAGGGCATAATTGTGTTATATAATACAGAGTAATAACTATATTCATAATGAGAAGATTGAATCAACAAACAAAACCTTCAATAAGGCTTAATATATCTATTTTTTGAAACAAAGAAGAGCTCAATCCATTTTACAAAGAATTTCATCAGAAATGGTCATGTCAAAAAACATTTTGGCTCAAAAGGGGCAAACTTCAATTACTTAGAATGTATATTTATGTGGAAGTATTCATTCTTTGATATTTGTTGGATTATATTGTCCCTTTGGAGACTCATGCACATGAGCAAGAAAAATGGCACCAATTTATGACAACCACTTAATTTTTTTGTATCAGTTACATCATGAGTGTATATAAATCATAGAATATTCTACTACTGAACTGACTCCCTGTGCTGGTAAAACAATAACTACAATCAGCCAGATTCCTTTTAGTTAAGAATGCTATAGTGGTTCATACATTTTTGTTTTTCCATTAGAGCTAAGGTCTTGAGAGTGTTTTCTCTTTAAGTTCCTTTCCCTACATCCTTATGTTTGTTTGTTTTCTTGGCTGTCTTTCCCCCTTTTGAACTACCCTCTCAGCAATATATCCAATACATCCCCTTCATTAATTTCTTTCACTCATCTCCAAGCGTTCTTCTGAACAGATGTATGTCTTACATCAGCATAACTGAGGTGATCGCCTAAACTAGCTTTTAAGGACAAAGCAGGCTAAGGGCAACTCGGATGTTGAGGTGAAAGACAGCTTTTGGCCCTGCCTTGCACACGCTGCTCTACTTAGCTGAATGTTCCACTTTATTTCTACACCCTTGCCAGCATAACTATTCTCATTTTAAGCTATTTCCTAACCTCCAAAAACCTCTCAGTATAATTTCTGCTCACATCTCATCAACCTCTGTTCAGAAACCTGATTCAGTTTCCAGGAACCAGATTGAGAACTGTGGAGAACTTTCAGAAACTTGTGAATATTTTTATATTTATAAATGCATTGAAACCTCAAACAAGTTCACTTTAAGACTTACTAATTCAGTTGCTTCCAAAAATTCAAAATAAAAATGAAAGCAAACTAAAAGCCAATTTATAAGGATGAAGTTTTCAAAAACTTGAAGAGAAAGGGTAAGGTAATTTACCAAAAGGAAGTGCCTAACAATATAACACCTGGATGTGGTTAGACTTGCAACAAGAAAGCGAAGAGGCCAGAGGCTGAAAAGCCAAGTGAAACTCACATTTCCAGAACTCCATTCCTCCCCCTGAAGTTAAGAGACTACCTCAGCCTCCTAACTTTGCTTTTCATATACCTGGATCTAGATAAGTCAGTCAGAGGTTATGGAGCCTAGAACTAACTCAGTGCCAACATTGTGGAAAACAACAAGATGGTTGTAGAAAAGGCCTTCCTGCCCTCAAGGAGCTTAGCATTTAATTGATGAGATGAGAGTAACTAACATAGCCACTTTCCCAGAATAAATTTACTATCTACCTTACCACTCTTTTTATCTTCAAATTCATCTGAGCTGAAAACAGGGCTCAGAGGGACCCTGGAAGTCCTCGTATGTTAGTTGTTGGGGGGAGGTATAGAAATAAATAAGACAAGGTATCTTCCTTCAAGGGGCTTGCTTTCCAATGGGAAATAAAAATGCTTGACAGATGGGAGAATGAAATAACACTATAAAGAGGTGCAGACTTTGTTTGGGTGTGCAGAGGATTAACCTCAGCTGGGACTATTGGGACAAGGCTTAATGGAAAAGTTATATTTGAGCTGAACAGTAGTGAACGAATAACCCTTCGATAATCAGAGCAGTGAAAGGGACAGGGGAGGTATTTTAAGACTGAGCACATGGAAGGGCAAAGGCAGAGAAGGAGGAATCTCATGGCAGATTCAGGGAATTGATACACACTTGGATCATGGGTTTCTCACATAGTGACGTGGAGACCACAGGTTGTTTCAGAATAAATGCAGTAAGCATTAAATGGGCCATGTTTAAACTCCACTTATTCACCATGAGAAAATACAGAGTCTGATTCTTCTGGGATATCTATAAAAGTCATGTAAATACCTAAAAACTAGAATAACCGTTCAGACATGGTTGCTCAAATACTCTCAAATACTAACATATTGTGTGATGTTGAGAAAGCCACCCAGTCTCCCTGGACCTCAATCTCTGTAAAACAGGATGAAAACAGGAAAATCCTTACCCACCATCCTCTCCTACACAAACTCATCCACAACTTCACCTCCCTCAGTGTGTGACTGACACGATAACACCAGCTCTAAGTCTATGTTGCCTTTCCATTTAGCCATCAGGCTGTCACCCAATGCTAGTAGCCCAAGTGAACATCTCTTCTAGTCCCAGCCTATGTGGCTATGTGCATGGGGGGAGTGCACAGAGCAGGGGTAGGAGAGGAGGAGAGCCAGCTGATGGTCCTGACCACATCACTGACTCCCAGTGGCGTTGTGGAAACATCACTGGGGTTCCTGCATATTCTTATCAGCAGGGTGAGGATCACTGGCTACCACATTGGCTGGACAGGGATTTTTCTTGAATGGGGGAATGAATAGATTAATGCAGTCTTGCCAACAGGCATTAAACGTCATCAAGAGGACTCGCTCTTTGTTCAAAGAGCGTATTAACACTTCCCATCCCCTTGAGACTCAAACGGATGTTTGTAGCTCAGGAAAGCTACACAGAACTAAGTGGCACAATTTGAATTCTCCATCAGACATCCATGTTGACACTTCACTCATCCTGAATCACGCATGGCTGTTTCATGACATTCAGGAAATCAAAAGCTGTCCCTGTGGGGTTTGTCTTGTAAAAAAAGCATTTTCTAAACAGAGGTGAGGAACACAGTTGCTTTTGGATGGAATGTATCCGCCAACGTTAGTTGTTCCTGCTGTTATTCTCAAACATTCATAGCTAATGGTGGGGAATTTTCAATGTCAAAAATAATTCAAATAAACATATTCAGTAAAAGGATGAAACCTCTACCATCCTCTGGCTTTTGTATGATGAAGTATCTCTTTTTAAGTCACTAGAGGTTTCAGAAGACTTATATATTTTTTTTAAGATTGTATTTATTTATTTGAGAGGGAGAGAGAGATCTCCAGCGAGGTGAGGGGTGAAGGGAGAAGCAGACTCCTGCTGAGCAGGGAGCCCGATGCAGGGCTCAATCCCGGGACTCCAGGATCATAACCTGAGACGAAAGCAGACGCTTAACTGACTGAGCCACCCAGGTGCCCTGGAAGACTTACATTTTATAAATCTTTATGAAAGCCATGACTGTGTATTATAGCATGCATACTTCATGACTAGGGTATACCTAGCATATTTGATGCCCAGAGTGCACCATTTCTAGCAACCCCCCTCCTCTATATGGAAAAATGTTTTCAGAGATCATGAGTTGAAACGAAC